TGAACTTTTGTAGAGCTTATACTCTTTCGAAAGTTGTAGACTAGAAAATAACTTAAGTTTGCAATACTTTATTTTTCAGGAAACAATTTCGTTGAGTGTTTATCGCAAGCAATAGCACACCGAAGTTGTATACCGCAAGCAATAGCATACCAAAGATGTCTATCGCAAGCAATATAGCACAATAAGCACACCAAAGATCATAAAGAGCAAGTTACAATTACAAAATTTCTATTATTTGTACGGAGTATTTCATATCAATATGGATCTTTAATGAATTCTAGATCATTGGCATTTTTCATATTTTGATGAGTTTTGTTGTTGAACTTTTAGGAGGCATAATTGTGTAGTATGACTATTGGTACTCATTTGAATTGAGTTTTGAACATGATGAACTTTATTACATGTCATTTTAGTATTTGTATTATGTATTATTGTATTATTTCTTTTCTTTTTTTAGATTTGAAATCTGGATTTTTTTCCGGGAAATATTTGTATATAATGTCGGTTATAAATGACACTAAATGCTATAATAACAAACACGGTAAGTGTTAGCAACGGCTATGACTAACAATGTTTGTAACATTATTAACTTGAGATTTTTTTTAGAATATGACTAAAACTCGTTGAGTTTCCCTACATACGATTAACTTAGTTTTAGACATTTGTATGATCGAAAATCCAAAAAAAATATGTTTATATTTAAATGTTGAATGACGAAAATACCCTTATTTAAAATATGTTCATTTCCCACAAATTTCGTCCAATTAAAGTAAATCTACTCCAGCTAATGGTTTAGCCCATTCTTTGTTGTTACTATGAGGGCATGAAGCGCAAGAAGAATTTACTCGTTGGTGTCAATTAGGAGCACTTTATATTGCCATTACTACATGACATTACTGCCCATTCGGTAATAAGCACTGCACTTCCGCCCAAATTAATTCTTTTCTAATTCACTTTGAGAATTTATTTATAGTTTTTATTTTTTATTTTTTTAGATATAGTAGTTTTATTATTTTAGGCCTAATTAAGTATATTGAGTTTCATGGAGAAATTAATGTTCTGTGTTACTTTACTACCGATCATAATCACTGCACAACAAACTTTATTAATGCATACATTCATTGTAATGTATAGCATATATATTCACTACACAACACACTTCGTCAATGCATTCATTCACTTCACACATAGAACATTATCTATTGCCATGTTCGCTCCCCATATTCAACCGTATCTATTGTCATGTTCACTAGTCATGCTCACTGTCTATGTTCATTGCCCATATTTAATGCCACATACCCTAATTTCAAAAATAGGAAAAGAAATTGAGAATGGGGGCGGCCGGAGACTTGGAGTGCAGCCGTGCGGATGGAGACGATGGCACGGCCGTGGCAGCGGCGCAGCATGGGGGATGGCTGAGCGCTATGGCATGGTGACGGTTGCGGCATAACCACGGATTGGTTATACATAGCACAAAAAGAAAGGGCATTATCAGTAGACTCAAGAGCAGAAAATCCGAATCGACCAGAAAATAGAAAAGTATCACATTCGTTTGTTGAAGACCGACGGAATAGGGGGTTTTAAGCCCTAGAGCCGCCATAGCTTTTCGGGTCGAAGGTAAGGGAATGTGGCCGTTGGGGAAGGTCCTAACAAGATCGAAACGGAAATTTACAAAAAGAACTTGAATGTCCGAATCGGAGAAGTTGACCGTCAGGAAGCCTTTGAACCGCCCGGACTTAGCTTCAATTCACTGTAAATCGACGTCGGAGAAGGAGATGGGTTGAGATTGTACTCGTTGGCCTGGGATGGAATCCCTTACCGCCACTGAAAATGTGGACCGCGAGGTGCCGACCCCTATCTAGAGCCCCTCCGCCGGTGACATTAAGATGCCGCTCGGGCGTTGGGAAAGTGAAACTCGACGGTTCTCTCTGATTTACGCCTCTCTGATTTATGCTCCATCCCGCGATTCGATCCTTTCGATTATAGTTATGCATCAGGTGAGAAGCTACAATCGCGGAATTAAGAGAGAAGGTAGAGGAGAAGCCACACAAGGCCCAACAAACAGTTAAAATCTGCTGGTTTATTTGTGCAAAAGACAATTTATGTGATTGGTTTATCAAAAAAATTTAGCTATGTAAATTGCAACTTATTTGACTGATTTAAACAGAAGGAGAAAGCAGTGGTTAACTTCAGGGAGTGTACACACAGAAAAAAGAACGAAGATAACCCTCCACCGCTCTTTATACTATTAAGAAATAAAACTGAATGTGATAAGTACATATATGTCTAAAAAGTGATCATCTTCATTGCCTTCACCTCTAATCTCACAAAGATTAAAGAAAAAGAAAATAAGCGGGCGACAACCTAGAGACAGACCAAGCAATGTAGGCGAAGAGCAAATGACGAAGGCAACACAAAGGAAGGCAGATTTGGCATTCAGAGGGTGTCGAGATGGGTGTCGAGATGGTTGCAGACGGATACGGGCAGGCGTGGACTCGGGCCGGTCCAGGTCGGGCCTAGGCCCGGGCGGGCCGGCGGTTCAGAATTGGTAGACCCGGGACCGGACCGGGTAGCAACCGGGTCCGGTCCGGGCCTCCGGTTTGGTTTATTTTTATTTTTTATTTTTTTGCTTTCCTAACCCTGTCACCCCCCACCCCCCCCACCCCCCCCACCCCCAAACCCCTTCTAACCATCAAGCCCAACCTGGGTGGAACCCAAAAAAAAAAAAAAAAAAAAAACAATCTGGCACGGACCCCGGGCCCGACCCGGCCGGGCTAGACCCGAGCCCGGACCCCCCCCCCCCCCCCCCCCCCGGGCCAGTCCCGGTCCCGCACAGTAGCAGGCTGGGCCGGTCCACGGGCCGGGTGGCCCGACCCGAGTCCACCACTAGATACGAGGCTGTTTGCATTTAGAACTTATGATGCATGCAAGGGCAGAAACATACTGGGTGGTGTTTGAGGATATTGTTGGTCCATTTAATTTAATCACTTTGTTTGCCTAAAATAAAATTATGTCCTACTTTTGTCCGAAAAAACCAATAGTCTACTTTCTTCAATATTTTAAAACATTTTCTACATTTCAATAAGTGATATAAATGATACATTCAGGATGTTTTTACTTGGACAATTTTCAGTCCAAGACCAATTTTTGGCTGATTTGACCGCCTTTTAGCTTTTTTACCAAATAAACAGCTAATTCAGTGTTTGGTTAATTGGCTTTTTAACTTGGCCTATTGCATCAAACAGCTAAAATTTAAAAAACCAATGAACACAGCGTTTTGGACTTAGGCCGCTGGAAAATTTATAGCGAATTCCGATTGTGCCCACATTACCTCCTTTTGTTCCTGTTCGTCACTTCGTTTTCCATTTTGGCCGCATGCTTATTTATAATTCACCGTTAGAGACAAGGCCTCAAATAATATCACCGTTAGAGACAAGGTAGGGGTGGACTCGGGCCGGTCCGGTCCTCGGTTCATGAAAGGGGAGGCCCGGAACCGGCCCGGATAACACCCGGGTCCGGGTCGGGCCAAGCCGGGCCAGGCCTCGGTTCAATTTATATATATTTTTTGGCATTTCCTAATTAACCCCCAACCCTCCCCCCTCACCCCCCCAACCACCCCAAATGGCCCAAAATACCCAGTCCAACCCAAAAACTTAAAAAAAAAATCAAAAAAAAAAAAGAATAAATAAATAAATTGGCTCGGACCGGGCCCGAACCGGCCGAGCTGGTTAACATTTTGAGGGGCCCGAGCCCAGACCGGAACCCCATGGGTCGGGCCTACCCGGACCGATCCCTGGCCGGGCTGGCGGTTCGGGCCGGTTCCGGGGCGGGCCGCCCGGCCCGAGTCCACGCCTAAGACAAGGCCTCAAATAGTGTACAACTATGGGGCATGGGCTATCCATCTATCATGACTACATGATTAAATAAAATATAAATACGAAGTATATAATAATATTATACTACCATGAGTTTAATGTTTGGACATGTTTTGCTAATACGGAGTATAAACTTGAAACCATGAGCTAATGTTTTGCAAAACCATGTGTTGAAAAAATTTATTTTTATTAAATAAAAACGGATTTAGTAGCTGTATTAGTAATATTAGCGAAATGTGTTAAAACACATACGTAATATTATCAGCTAATCAAAACAGCCAACAGAATCCGCTGCTACCAGCCAATAGAATCGGTCAACAGCCAACAGCCAATTGTCAAACACCCCCATAATCAATTCGCTTCTCATCAAGTCCCTAATCCCTATTAGTGATTAAGATAATATAGTTTATCATGAAGGCCTTAGAATTGACATTTTGTATTAAATGTTATATATGTTATATATTCATATATATTGTCGATGTCATTCCAAATGTTTTCATATTTATCTACATATTCCTAATTCATCATTCTTCATTTAATCATTTAATATAGTTATACTATTACTAGTGGTTATTCAATTAGTTTAGTATAGATATCATATTAATGCAGTCATACATACCAAACAAGCTCATATGTGCAATACTATTGCCCTATGAGTATATAAACATTTCAAAAAGACAAGTTAAACAGGTAATAGGGAGCAGCAGAAATGGAATATGGTAAAAGCGGAGGGTACGTATTTAGGAGCATATTTGTTATCTCCCCAATTACGAACAGCATGATAAAGCTTACCATATTCCATTTCTGGGGAGATAACAAATATGCTCCTAAATACGTACCCTCCTGAATAGGTAAGCTTTATCATGCTGTTCGTAAATATGGTAAGCTTTATCATGCTGTTCGTAATTGGGGAGATAACAAATATGCTCCTAAATACGTACCCTCCGCTTTTACCATATTCCATTTCTGTAAATATATTTGTTCTAAGTAAACAGCTAAAACGTAACCATCATTTCCACTAATATATATATATATATATATATATATATATATATATATATATATATATATATATATATATATATATATATATATATATATATATATATATATATATATTGAAACCATGGCTGTTCAAGAACAGAAGAAATCGGATGTCCTTCCATTACATATCAGGAGGGTGAGGGTTTAAGAGTTGCATAAAAACCAGAAGGCTTCTTACTTAAAATAAACTTCTGCTGTTGATAAGGCACGACTAGAACTCAAAATCTCATTTCTTGCTTTTACCTCCTCCGGGTACGAGAACCTTGTCTGAGAAAAAATAAACACCTTCTTGCATGTCGGAAAGCAGCCTATCAGTCCCGTTATCAAATGCACTTCAAATTTGGATGCTGAATACACGCTAAGCTTCAAAGTTTGGAGGTCATTGTGTCTGTGATGAAGCCTGTGAAGTCCTTCCAAGAGATTAGAAACACTCTCACCACAAGTAGGCGAGTCTAATCCACGGAGCTACACAAAAATGATGATTAAGATCAACACAACATTGGTTCAAAAAATAAACACAACATTTACACACGATAAGAACCAAAATTGAATCTGTGATCGCTCATAGGTATAACCATCACTAAGCAATTCATATGTGAAAACAAGAATTACCTGAAAACATATTTCAAGTTCGCATAATTTTGGGCAACTTCTCAGCAGATTAACAAGCTTAGAGTTACTATCAGAACCTGGATAGTAATCACCTGAAAGGTTTAAGTATTTCACGTCTAACATTGGCATTTGAAGTCCCTTTCTACCAAAATCATCAACAACACCCTTGCAAAAGTAATACCGAAAAAATCAATCATTGGCTATAAAACATTTAAGAATTGTATTAGCTTAGAAAACATACCCATATAGCATTACAACACAAATGAAGCCTAGAAACAGATCCCAAATCTAAGTTTGCAGGGAGAAAACCACCAACGGGTTTGTCTTTTTCATTGGTAGGGTTGTAGCAAAACATATCGTTATTATCATCACCTCCACTACTGCAACTGTCATCAGAGTCCCTTTCATCATCATCAGAGTAGTAATCATCATCATCCTCCTCCTCCTCAACATCATCATCACCACTAATGTAACATTTTTCGATTGATAAAATACCAAGTTTCGGAGCAGTAATGTTAAAATGAGAGATGTCTGTGCATCTGCTAAATGTCAGTCTTTGGAGCTTTGGAAGATCAACGGCATGATGTTGAAGACTACTTGCACCAAAATGAACAAGATCAAAGCTAAGAAAAGTGACATTGGGAAACATGCAACGGGGTGTTATCTGGTCTATTTTAACACCACAAGCATAAAATGTCTTCAGAGTAGAGCATTTAAGGATGCAGGGCGGCAGCCGGTAATTGCGATCATCATCACTATATATCTGAAGGTCGAGTTCTTGAACACCTTTCTTTGTGAGAGAGAGGAACAACTTATCGAAATCGCCTCTATATACTTGCTGACTAAAATAAATGTCAAATCTTTTAATATTTCCATTGTGCTTCTTGAGGTAATCGTTGACTATATCATGCCATTTGTCTGGGTTTTTAATAAAATCACAGTAAAGGATATAATGGAAGGAAGCATCAAAAGCAACCTCAGTAAGACTGTACCAGGCATCTCTCCAAACAGTGTTTAAGACGGCCATGGTAGCAGCTTCTTCAATCCACAATTTTCCCATAATCTTGTCAAGTATATCTGCAGGAAGTTCACTGATTCTGTCTCGCTCCTCCATAGCTTAAACCTTAAAGTAAACAAGCCAAACAGAAAGAACCAATTACAGATTATCAAAAACATAAACCCAAAATTATAGTTGAATTGACTTATATACTACATAAATTGCAAAAGTCATTTTTGGGCATAAAGAAGGTAGATAGACATATCAACCACAACAAGATTACGAAACCAGGAATCCAATGCTATTCTTGATTCTTCACATTAAAAAAATCAGAGGTGTGCTTCCTTTGAAAACAAAAGTGATGGCAGGAATTGAAAGAGTGTGGGGCGATTAAATTGACGGTATATAGTATGAAAAAACATGAAATGCAAGGTGATAAACATACAGCCTTATATTAGAGTAGATAGACGTGCTTCAGATTTGCAGATTAGGGCAGTGGAGACTGGAGAAGTTAGGGCTAGCCAGAGCCAGGGAGCGGCCAGACTTCGGAGTGAAGACGAGCAATGTTGAAGGCGGCCCTCAATTGATACTTACCCATTTGGTAATGGTAATTATGGGAGCGAGAAATTTGGTTTAGGGGGGAGAACATGTAGCCCACCCATTACACGGCTATACAAACATGGCCATTTTTATTCAAAGGGGAGTAAAAAAATAATCTAATATAAGGTCATGAACTCAATAAAGCGTAGCAATTTGATTTTGTTTCTTGGCTAAAGGGTCAAATAGTTTCTTGTACCTTTTCGAATTTCTCAATTTGCCCCTGAACCCATAAAAGCTCCAATTAGCTCCATGAACTCGATAAAAAGATTCAAAATTCACTTTTAGCGGGTCACAAGTCGATCATTGCCATGCGGGGGCGGAGCCAGGACACTGGGCCGGTACAAAGAATATTTATGAAAAAAATTTACACCTAACTTTTTACACTAAAAATTAAGACATTTTTAAAATTTGGGCTGGGCCAGGGCTAGGTCCGGCCCACCCCTAGCTACGCCAATGTTGCCATGTCACCCGGTAGGGTGCCAATTGTGCATGTGAAGTGGCAACTTAGGGGTCAAATAATCCCCTGAACCCGATCGTTCACAGTTAATTCAAAATAAAATAAAATAAATATAAAAAATAAAATTATAAATAAAATACATGTCTAAGATATAAGATATATTAATATAAAATACTTATCGTTCACAGTTAATTCAAAATAAAATGTAAAATATAAACTAAAAAAAATATGTATGTTTATTTCCATATTTTATAACTACTACGTATATTTCATATAAGAAATAAACAATGTATTTTTATCAACTATATTTAAATTTTTATTTTATGTATTATATCTAATGGTTTGTAATATATAACACAAATTTTAGGTTTTTGGTTTGATATATAATTTATACGAAGCATTATGTTTGTATTTTTTCGTTTCATACTAAAAATATACTCAAAAAAAATATACAATTATTATGTAACTATTTTTTTTTCAAAGTTACCAATTACACTTTTTTATATCTATAGTAACATAAAAATTACTCATATATAAGAATTAAAATATAAAAATAGTAACTACATATTTATCTTATTTATAATAAATACATTAAAGTCTTTTTTACGTATTATATATAAGAATTAATTTCTTTTAGTTTATACTACCTCCGTCCCTTAAAACATTGTCAAGTTTGACCAATACGGGGATTAATAAAGTAAAAACTATGTGGTTGAGGTTTGTGCAGAGGAGAGAGAATTAACAAAAACACAAATTCTTTACTTAAAAGGAAAAATGGCAAAGTTAGTGGGACATTCAAAAAAGGAAAGTTGGCAAAGTTTTAAGGGACGGAGGGAGTATTTTATTTCATTATTTTGAGTTTACCCAAAAATATAAAAATATTTATATTTTATATTTTGACTTATACTCCCTCCGTCCCCTTTTAAATGTCCCGTTTTACCATATTGGGATGTCCCTATTTAATTGTCTCATACCTTATTTGGTAAACTTTGTGTGGCTCAAAATCATTCTTACTTTATTCTTACTTTATCAATTAATATCAACCACACAAACTCACTTTTCTTAAAACTCGTGCCACCATCTCCCGTCCCATTTAAAAGGGGACGGAGGGAGTAATTTATTCTATTTTTTATTTTCTATTTTAATTTTTTATTTCTATTTTTCATAATTTTGCTTTTTTTAAGAGTTGAAGGGGTAAATTGAACATTTGATCGGGTTCAAGGGCTTATTTGACCCCCTAAGTTGCAACATCACTTGCACGGTTGGCACCCTACCGGGTGACGTGGCGATGACCGGCTTGTAACCTACTAAAAGTGTAATTTGAATCTTTTTATCGAGTTCAGGGTGCTAATTGGAGTTTTTTTGGGTTCAAGGGGCAAATTGAGCAATCCGAACAGTACATGGGCCTATTTGACCCTTAAGCCTTGTTTCTTTTATGGGAAAGTTCCCAAAATAGGACTACACCAGTTTGAAAATTCCAAAATAGGACTGCCATATTTTTTATTCCCAAAATAGGAGTAATTAATGTCAAGTTTGGATAATATTGTCATGTTTGAAGTCTGGTACTGCCAAAACATGATAGTAATTAGTCCTATTTTAGAAAAAAAAATGACAATCCTATTTTGGAATTTCCAAACATTTTTAGTCCTATTTCGGGTAATATTTTCTTCTTTTATTGGCGAAATGGAAGTGAAGTTGGGAGGAAGCGCCTGAAATAAAACGTTAGAAAAGATTAGGAGCCCGTTAGATAGCACCAAAATAGGCTGTTTTGGCTGATTCTGCTGAAATTTATAAGTTCTGGCTGAAATGGCAGCATTGGCTGATTCTGCTGATTTAAGAAAAAATTATTTTTAAAATATATTTTATTAATAAAATAAAGAAAAAATTATGTGTAAAAATAGTTTATATGGTCATCTACAGTAACTTCAGCCAATACAGCCATAAATGTAACTTCAACCTTACTTTTTATGATTATTACAGAATTCAGCGCGCGAAAACAAAAGTTACGTGTTTGGTGAAAAAGTTGGCTGATAAGCCTGATAAGCCGAAAAACAATGTTACCAAACGGCCTCTAGAACAAGGATGGAGTAAAACGTTAGAGCCTGTTGTCAATGTCATTACAAATGTTTTTAATTTTTTCTTTGTCGTAAGTCAAGGCCAAAAAGCTATCACTTCATTCACATATAGCATCTATATATACAAGGGAGGGGAGTTAGGGTTACATTTCATATGGGCCAATACATATGGGCTTGGAGTTTAATGGACATCCACTTAATTACATAACACTCCCCCTTGGATGTACATTACTAAATAAAAACATTACAAGAAAAATATACATGATTCTCTTTATATGCATTGATGATGCTGCCTCGTTAAAAACCCTGCCGAGGAAAACCCAGTGGGACAAAACCTTGGTCAAGGAAAAAAGAGTGCAACGCGTATATACTCACCCTGTTGGCTGCATCACTTCAGGTCTTCTTGTTGAATCCAATTCAATCCAATCCGGTTGCTAACTTCTCGAATGAATTATCGTACTATGTGTATGCCTCGTTAAAAACCTTGTTGGAAAAACTCATTGGGAAAAAACCAATCAAGGAAAAGAGTACATAATATATGTAAAACGATGTGTTGTATTGACTGTCTCGTTAAAAATCTTTCACTAAGAAAACCATGCGGGAAAAACTTAGTAAAGGAAAAGAGTACAGTCATTGGCCTTTGGGCCTAATCTTCTGGATTGCATTTGAATTTACTCTTTTAGAGAAAAATAATATTCCGGATATTATGTATCATAATATGTTATTTCAAAGTCACAAACTGCCTCGTTAAAACCTTTGACCAAGAAAACCCTATGGGACAAAACTTGGTTAAGGAAAAAGAGTACAGTTGCATATGGTCTTCCAGACCGATAAATTATTCGATCTCACAAGGACCAATTAAGACCTTCAGGGTACTATCTTCCGAACTAATATTAGAATCACTCTTCTAGAGGATAATAGTCTTCCAGATGTTATGAATCTTTCTCATTCTTTAAAAACCACAAAATAACTTAAAACCTTTGGCCAAGAAAAACCTTTGGGAAAAAACTTGGCTAGAAAAAAAAAGAATAGCACTTGGTCTTCTGGACCAATTAATTGTTTCACTTCAATCCACTCCATATAATTTGAGCTAATGACAATCTTTAGTATACAAAATCTCTATCATTATTTATACAGATTTGATGCACATCAAACATTTAATAATTGAGTGTTCTCAAATATTGGTCTATAAAGATTTAAAAGGGGCATGTTTTGATCCTCCTAGGATTTGAAATTAGTATATGAACACTTGATGTACTCACAATGTAATGACTAGATATTTATTTATTATATAATCAAACATCATTCCAATCAAAAGATTCTCATGTGTTGTTTCTAGGTTTGGCTAGATGCTTAAAAGTATCCAACACCTTTATTTATACAATAATATATGTTTACTCCAGGTAAACAAATAGAAAGTTTATGAGTAATTGCAAATTCATTGCATAAAGTTTTCTTCATTCAACTCTTTATGTAGGAAAGGTTGAGAAGTTGTACGAATATAACTCACTTTAAATCCGTTTAAACTCTAGTCATTGAATCATGTGAAAACACATAAGAAAATTGTTCACATTAGATCCTCTACAGGAGGCACTCACTACAAGTGATATTTTGACATGGTGCAAATACCTTGTTCAATCATGATATTAAATAATATAATTTGCACCATGGTAATCAAGCATAGTTCTTCTACAAAATAAATCATGTCATCAAGATTTAATGTGATCACCCAGGTTGTGGTTAGGCACAAGCATCTCCTTTTATATTTACAACTATGCTTACAATTTACTACATTTCTTATTGTTGTAGTTATGCAATCAAATTCAAAATCTTTTTCAAGAATAGTTCCAATATAGTTACTATAACTTCACAGTTCACACATAATGTCCTTATATAGACATAAAAAAATTTATATTCATGTTGCATGCTGTGTGCACATATTTCTTTTGTCATTGTCCTTCAGGGACACACATTTGATATTATAACAATGACATCCAATTTTCTCATCAACTGCCACATTTACAGAACTTTAAGCTATATCAAGAATGTAGTCTCAAGATCATTCAATCTCAAGTATTGTCACCCCACGTGCACAATATCTTGATTTATGGGACTTCAGGCCCAATATAAAATATTGTCTCATCCATAAACATCGATCATAATTCACAAAATTTTAGGACTGCAGGTCCATCATATTTCGTCTGGCCAGACTTTATTATTATGGATTATGAATCGATAGTCTTGGAAAAATAAATCATTGACGTCAATATAATAACTATGATTCCTGTTTCATCCAAGTCCTCTATATGAGCCATAAAAGAGGAACTCAAGTTCTGTATCATATAGTTTCTATAACATATCAGCTGCAGCATTTAACTTATATTATCCTCTTATAGAGGCATACGTGACTTACTGTAATAAAAACCGGTTTTATTCTATATAAACATAATGACCGTCTAACCATGCTTCATGCATTGGTTGAGCTCAAACTTTGCAATCATTTATTTTAGTCACTTTCGCAGTTTACTT